GTGAGTGATGAATAACGAAAAGTGAGTGGTGACTAGACGCTCCTTTTTTGAATCTGTCATATATATATATATATTTATGTATACATTTCAGATTTTGCAATTCTAAACCAATATTTTTTGGGATTCAATACAAATAGATTTTAGTATATATCAGATTACATGAACACATATAAACAGTTTTATAAGATATTTTTTTCATAAACAAATTAAATCTATACTAGTTGGAAGATTGGAATATATACTCCAGTCAAGTGGTGCATTTTAGCCAAACGTTACAGAGACATTGTGAAGGAAATATTAGATGATGTGTAGGGTTACTACTCTATTGGTAATTTGATACTCATGAAGTATTGATGTTTTAGCAAGATCCAAACTATATTGCTAAGCTGACAAATACAACCCACCTTGGAACAAAAGGAAGTACAAACCTAAAGGATCAATTCACTGATCACCTGGACTTCAATGAAAAATTTAGTCCTTTTAAATCGCTTACATATGATGATTCATACTCCTTTCATACCTCTTAGTTGAATCGTGGTACATGCACATGAAGGAGAAAGTATAGGGTTTTGGCTTCAAATTGCAGTACTTAGCACTCGACAAGTCTACTTGCTCAAAGTGACACCTTAAAGAGCTTAGAGAGAGTCCAATCATGTCACAACACAGAGCAAAGTTTTGTTGGCCGAGTATTAGAATTTAACCAAACATTATGGGGCCATTGTGAGGAGCATATCGGGTGTGAATGTATTGACAATGCAAGACCTATTGATAAGACGGGTGTATAGGCAAAATCCAATCTATCTTGATGAGCTAATTCACACAACTCACCTTGGAACAACATGAAGTAGATTATCAAGTAAATGATGAACGAGTGTTTTGGCTTTTGAAAAAATATTTAGTCCTTGTCATCTGTGTACATAGTATCGTTCATACTCGTTAACTTTAGTTCAGTCCAGGTACATGCATACAAGGTTAGGGTTTTGAGCTTTTCATTGTAATACTTAGCACAACGTGTGTACTTGCGCAAAGTGGAGTATTAAAGAGCGGACATAAAGTCTGATCATGTTACAATACATAGCATAATCTCATTATTCAAATGGTGCACTTTAATCAAACTTAAGAATTGATAAATTAGACATTGGAAGTGATCGAAACAACTTTCTGTACCAAAAAAACCCATGAATCAGACATTGTAATTGATGAAAATTTTTTCAGCGGGTACAAGATATGTGACATATGATGCACGATTGATTTCCTCTAAAATTTTGGATGTTGTGTGATGTAACTCGTAGATTCTTCAAATCGCATCATTGAATTGTTACTCTTGCATTTACAACCATGCAAGAGGATTTATAATTTAAACAACCACATATGCTTCACCCAAAAAATGCTATCTGATTCTTAGCTCATTTTATGTGCTACAATTATGTAAACAAAGATGATTAACTCGTGCTTGATATTGTCAGAGATTTCGGCTTTAGATTGTAATATTTTCCTCACTCGCGCAAGTGTACTTGCGCGAAGTGAGGAATCAAAGAGCAAAGTGAGAATCTATTCATGTCACAACACATAGCAGAATCTCATTAGTCAAGTGATACACTTAAATTGAAGAATTGATGAATTGGACATGGGAAGTGATTCGTAACAACTCTCTCTACCAAAAAAACCCATGAATTGGACATTGTAACTGATGAAAATACTTTGAGCAGCTCCGAGACATGTGCATATGATGCATGCTTCATATGCTTTCAAAGCTCAAGTGTTTTGTGGTGCAATTCTTGGATATTCCAAATCACGGCACTCAATTGCTACTCTAACATTTATAACATGCAAGAATATTTGAAATCTGAACAACCACATGTGCTTCATTTAAAAAACACATTCTCTTTCTCAACTCATTTGATCTGCTGTAATTATGTAGATGAAGATGATCAACTAACACTTGATATTGTTAAGGATTTTGGCTTTAGATTGCAATATTTAGCTCGGCGAGTGTACTTGCGCGAAGTGGGGAATCAAAGAGCTAAGTGAGGATCTATTCATGTCACAACACATAGCAGAATCTCATTAGCCAAGTGATGCACTTAAACCAAATTAAAAAATTGATGAATTGTACATAAGAAGTGATAAGTAACAATCTTTTCTATCAAAAAAACCCATGAATTGAACATTATAATTGATGAAAATCTTTTGAGCGGATACAGTATGGATGCTTCATCTGCTGTGAAAGTTTGGATTTTTTGTGGTGCAACTTGTGGATTCTTCAAATTGCATCACTGAATTGCTAATCTAGCATTTACAAGCATGCAAGAAGATTTATAATTTGAACAACCACACATGCTTCATTCAAAAAACACATTTACTTTCTCAACCCACTTGATCTTCCAATTGTGCAGATGAAAATTACCAACTTGTGCTTCATATTGTTAGGGGTTTTTGACTATCTGTTGTAATACTTATAGCGGCGAGTGTACTTGCGCTAAGTGGGAAATTAAAGAGCGGAGAGAGAGTCTGATCATGTCACAACACATAGCATACTCTTGTTAGTCAAGTGATGCAGTTTAGTTTAACGTTAAAGGGCCATTGTGAGAGGCATATTGGGTGATGTGAAAAGTTTGTTCTCTTGATGGTCATATGTTCCGCAAGACCTATTGACAGCCCAGGTGTAGCAACGAGATCCAACCTATCTTGCTGAGCTGGCTGATACATCCCATCTTGGAACAACCGGAAGTAGAAATCCAAAGGTTGATGGACGAATGACTTGCCGTTCAAGAAAAGATTTAGTCCATCTGAACCGTGTACATGCAATGGTTTCTTTCTGCTTTTATTCTCGTTAACTGTACTTCAATTGTGGTACATGCGCCTGTACAGGAAGGTTATGGTTTTTTGCTCCCTATTGTAGTACTTAGCGCGGGGAGTCTACTTGCACGAAGTGGAAAATTAAAGAGCGGAGAGAGAGTCGGATCATGTCACAACATAGAGCACAATCTTGTCAGCCAAGTGGTGCACTTTAGCCAAACGTTACGGGGCCATTGTGAGGGACATATCCGGTGATGTGGACGGTTTGTACTTTGGATCGTCATTTGGTCCGCATGGCCTATTGACAGCCCTGATGTATAGGCAAGATCCAACCTATCTAGTTGAGCTGGATTACACAACCCACCTTGGAACAACAGGTACGAGGAATCTAAGGAATTGATCTGTGGATGACTTGGACTTCTAGAAAAGATTTATCTTTGTCATCCTGTAAATAAGATTTCTCATACTCCTATCGTACCTTTTAATTGTACGTCAGTCGTGGTACAACTGCTTTTCAAAATACAATATATGGAAACTGATTGTCTCTAACACAACAGCATACAAGGAAGGAAACTTTTGAATTTTCAAAATATTGATCTACAACACTGATACCCCTGATCGCCTTCTAACCCTCATGTCTGTCATGAGCGTCTGATGGGCTTCTTAAATTTGAACATTAGAACTGTATCCTGGGACTTGACAGTTGCTTATTTTTCCAACAGTCTTGAGAAAGAAGAAGTACTAATTGAAGCAAAGAAGGTATATTTGGACACGAATCAGTCCAATATTAGTTTTATCGGAATAATCAGGTGATGATATTGAGAATGCATCATGACGTATCTGGTTTTTGTTTTTGGTAACATTTGTAACAGATTACGTGTAATTTATCAATTTTGTATGACACACGTCATTCATGGTTATATGCCTGGTTCATGGAACAAAGAAGTTAAAAAAATGAGGAACAAACTAGATTGTTATCTGATCATGATGTTGCTGGATTCGGTGCAGTAGCAGACGAATATGGATGTACATCAACGGATATCCTTCTTTGGATAATAAAAATCCATTCTGTTACTTGGATTCACTGGACTTCATGATCAATGGACAACCAGTGGGAATTTCACCAGCTAATTGATGAATCCAGGATGATCGAAATGGAGGAGTCATTCTCGATTCTGGGGAAGTATCTTCGCTCCTAATTTGTTCACTCTCTTCAGAGATGCATACCGGGACCCAGTTAGAGAGATCCTTGGAAGTTCCACCATTATTGGTACTCTTGCGATGGACACAAGCTGTGATGTGGCTAAATTTGACACTTGAAATTTGGAGCTACCAGAAATACGCCTGATTCTGATTTCGTCAGAGAGTCTACAGTTTTTCAATGAAACTCTAGGTCCAATCGAAGGCTTCATCCTTTTCTCGCATGCCCTTTGCATTTGCGGAAATGAAAAGAATCCCAGGAATGTTGACCTACTGTCATTGGAGGATATTTTTCAAATGCAAACTCATATGGTTTTCGACTAGCCCAATCAGCGTGTATTATGTAAAAGCTTGCATGCTAGTGGCTAAACTTTGAGGCACAGCCCGTGAATCCAGACATAGCCTTCAGTCCTATAAGTACGTTTTGTGGTCTTGCAAGACCGAACACCTCTAGTGACACGACTTATATTAGTCAAAAGGAGCATGTCATAAAAATTTAATAATCTTGTGCTAGCAGGTTGGCTAACTTTAACTTTAATACATAAGAATAACTTCAACTAATCTAGAGAAGAGAGTACTGAGGCTTGTGTGGAACTGTGAGAAGGATGCCTTACGTTCCGTTTTGTTCTTGGATGGCTATCCTAATCAAACCAGCCTCTGTTCGTTACATTCCAATTCGTGATGATTGGGCTCATTCATTTAATAAATTGAAGAGTATCGGTAAAATTTGCTTACTACCTTCAAATGTTTAATGGATGACAATCGTAAACATCATGTTTTACAGACCAGAAGAACTTGGTGCAAACGTCCCAGTTAGAGATTATCTGGCGTCACGCCCTGTCGAATCGACTTGTGAATACTTCGAGCACTGAAAGAACAAGCACGATCTTCAAACATTATTTACACACTTTTTGCTGAGACCGTAAACAGACTGATTGAAAACCAGTTACAAACATCTTGAAAGAAACTTTATCGCACTGGATCTTGAGCTATGGTCGTTTCCGAGCCAAAAAAAAACGTATTAAATTTGGAAATATTTGCCTCTTGGATCAACACTTTACATGATGCTAAGTTTCACCATATAGGAAACAAAGATCAAAGGACCCTTGATATTTAACAAGTCGCTCGTAACTGAACTAGCAGTAGCCCGGCCGCTCTTTTCGATGAGATGTTGAGCGTAACATTCATCTCCCATCTCACATCTCCTGGACTTCTCAAAGTAGCGTATGGACTCTAATGTTTTTGCAGCAGAATTTGTTCCCACTAAGTACGGACGAAAAATCTAAGGTTCCCAAAGACGCACTTGGAAAGCACAATTGGGATGAAATAAAAAATCCGAGTGGAATCCGGCAGAGGATGCTCACAATGTTCCCACATGAGTGTATAGCTTGTATGGCTCAGCGAGTGCAGGTCTAACTCCCAGGATATTTATAACTAGAGTTGATCGGAATGGGTGGGAAGACCATGGGCACAACCGAAGAGCATGAGAATGCTTCGAGGACTGTTCTCACACTAGTTTGGGTGACTCGCAGGGAACATTCAGAAGCGTAGCAGCTGCATTTGCCGGATCCATGCAAACATCTGCTCCTGGAAAGACTGTATTTTGACCAAGAGTGAAAACGGTATGATTTTGAAGTAGCGACAATGAGCTGTACAAGGAGCTCATGATCTGATCGGCGTCGGCTGCAAACAAATGAAAGACCATGTTAGATCTTGCATAAATCCATAGATCCCCCTTCATCACTCGAGGCCCTTCATACCAATTTCTGGAACAGCAGATCATTCATACTCATGAGTGGATCGAAATCTTAATCTGATGTTATTGTGTCGTAAGGAAATTGCTATAAAATGTATTAGGTAGAAACAACAGCAAGTGATCAAGGACATTTATTGTTGATAGTATGATGAATGCGAAGGGCTTACTTGTTTGGGATGACTTAGAATCAACCAATTTTTTCGCTTGCGTGAGACCTGCTTGAACAGAATTGTTCAACTGCGACCAAGTGGTCGGAGGGAGATTTGACAGAACCAGGGCATCACTCGATGCTCTGTAGCTGAAGAGACTCGTGTTGAAGTCCGTGTACACTTGTGTCGTAAAAGTAGTGACTTGATCCTCGTATCGGGTCACCTCCTTGCCTTGAATCTTGCTGGGAGCATAAACGCCTTGGGCGAACAAGGCGGCCACGAAAAGGCCGATGACAAAAAGCGTCGACACCCACGAAGCAAACTGCTTCAAAAAGAAGGTCCAGTTCACTCCCTTGGAGCCCTCCAGAAGACCAACGCCGATGATGGCTCCGGTGATGCACTGGCTCGAAGACGTGGGCAGACCGTACTGCGAAGCAATCATGATCACGAACGCTGTCGCAAGCTCTGCGGCAAATCCTCTCGTCGGGGTCAGCTTGGCGAGCTTCACTCCCATGGATCGAGTGACATTGTACCCGTATGTGGCAAGCCCGATCACCAGACCGATCGCACCGATCAGCACGATCCATACAGGGGGCGTCACGGATTTGGAAAGCTGACCCTTCTGGTACACATCCCAGATCGTGGCCAAAGGACCTGCCATGTATCCGACCTCACCAGCGCCATGAGCGAAGATGACGCAGATCGCCGAGAACACCTGAAGGTAACTGAATGCGTACTCGACGCGCTCCTCGAACTTCTCGGCTGCCTCGTGCATGTCTCCGATCTTCTCATCGGTCTTCACCACGCTGTGGATGTCGACGTCCATACCGTGAGTGGCTGCCTTACTGAACTTCTGCCAGTTCGACAGTTTCCTCGGCTCGGTGTTGTCACCAGATTGTTCCAGGTCTCCAGTGGCACTTACGTTCTGAAGCTCCGTGTTTACGGGTTTCACGATCCGGTTGCCATCACTGCATGAAAATCGAAGACATTGAGGGGTTCAGCGCATACGAAATCGGAATATCTTCTCACACTAGAAGACTTTCCATCCCTGAGTAACTTATTGAACGAGTAGTTTCGTGTCCAACAAAATCTATATGAATAGATCAGACAGGCTTCTCCGCTTGATAATGATACAGAAATGCGGAAAATTGGGTCATCATCATCACCTGTCGAACTGGCGGTTGGCCATTTTCCTCAAGAGTGGCAGAGCCACGAAAATGGTGAGAAGTGTGATTCCCGCTGCAATGCATGCTGACACCCATGCAGCCTTGGCATCGGTCCACTCATCGTTTGAAGAAAGAGCTTTTTTGGCACCCTGGAGCAGCAGCATATGGTCAGTAAATGTGCTGAGATAAAATGATGCTACGTGCAGAACTGGACATCAGACATGCGATTATATCGACTCCTCAGAAGTAAAATTGCTGAACGTGGAATTTTGCCTGACGAATGACAGAAGAAAATACTAGTGCAATCGAGGGAACCAGCAACGATGTATAAAACTAGGAGATGAAAATCAGAGACTTTGTCCAACAAACCTTTGTAAAGACGAAGTACAAGTTGATGAAGGTGGTGATGAGGACAAACGGAGGCAAAGTCCAGAAAGCTAACGAGTAAGCATTCTTCTGTCGAAGCACCAGAGAACGGACGACGAAGAAGATGAGAGCGGCTGTGAGTCCACTGAGAATCGGAGACACGAACCATGACAAGACAATGGCTACCACACCCTTGTAAGGGGGAAACGAGCCACTGTCCTTCCTGGCCCACACAACAGCATTGGGACCATCCCAGACCAGAGCGAACCCAATAATTCCTCCAACTGCCAAGACAGTCAGAATTTGTCAAATGTTGTTATAGAATTCCTCCAGAATGTCTTAGATTTTTTCAAGAATCTAACAGCTGAACATGATACCACCAGTAGTCTGGTCTAGTTGTGATCAACTATCAGAAAGTGACAACTCTCAAATTTCCTTCCTTTCAATTCTTGTCCTACATGTGAAATTGAGGTGGTTTTGATGCTTACTGATAGAATGAGTAGAGGACACGTTGAATCCCCAATACGAGGTGATGATCAGCCACACCGTACCAATGCCCAAAGCGCAAACCATGCCATAGGCGTATACTTCTGGATCTCGGTTGAATGATTCTATATCCGCAATACCAGATGCTATTGTGTTGGTGGATACACGGCCCAGAAGCAGTGCACCAGCGAATTCAAATATGGAGGCAATCTGCACGAGAAGGTTCCATGTCCAGGAGATTCAGGTTCCATGCAGTTTGAACACCGGGCATATCATGCATCTCAGCCTACTCAGAGTAAACTGCGTGTTGCGCTTGGCGTTTTCTCCGAGTTCTAAACCTGACAGCTCTAAATTCTAAGCTCGAAGTCATAGAAAGTGTACTACGGAGACATATTATGTTGAAACAACCACCATACATGCATATGTCTGTCAAGTGTGTGCATGGGTATCAGGCAACCATCAATCCCAGAACAAGTTTGCAAAAGTGGACTATGAAGTAGTACTGCTTACGATGACGGCCTGACGAAGGGTGAGAGTTTTGCTCCCAACAGAAGTACCAAAAGCATTGGCGACGTCATTCGCACCTGAGCAAGACAATATTCCGATTGTAGTCAGATGATCAGCGACAGACTCCCAAGTGAGAACAAGGATCACCTTCAAGAAATTTCGGTTACAGCGGACGAACTGACGATGATCGATGATCGATGAGTTGTAGGTACTTACCAGTTCCCCAACCGAAACCAAAAGCGACAATAGCGCCTACAACCACGAGCCACAGATACTCGTCGAGGACAGCCATCTTGAGAACTAATCGAATCTCGAATCAGACTGCAACAGGATAGAATCAGCCTCGATCTAGCGAGACTTCTAAAGGTAGAAGTGGAGCATCTACCCTCGGCAGACCTGCGTCCAGAAGCTCAGTACTAGTACTCGCTTGAGGAGATTCAAGCGAAATGGATCTGGATAATGCACAAGCCCATCGGTAATCCTGGGACAGGCAGTATTTATTCTGACAGTCCTCGGTGCTTGAGCACCCCCAGGACTCCAGACGCTTGCTTGGCTCGACGACTGACGCTCGAGCCATTTCTCGCCGACAGTGTACATCCGAACAGTGCAGCTTCTCGTGGACAAGTGTGACAGAACTGGAGTATGGGATCTCATTCGGCATATGCCGAATAAGCTTCCTTGCTTCCCGTCCAGCACTGTTCCCTTTTGCCAGGTCGAGATTCCGGGCTCCCTCCCCTTTTTGACATTCTCCAAGCCGCAAAAATCTTGCCCATCGATCGATCACGCTTGCGACACCTGCAGTGCATTGTAGCTAATTTGCCCGTCGCTCAAGTACACCGCCGTGCAATCGTACAAACGATCCGATGTCTTTCGCATGCCACCCAATCCCTCGCTGCCAGACAGGATCTTCCAAACATCAACTGGCCCCAGTGAACTCGTTTGACCCACATGTGAATTCGGTTTCATCGTTTCACTGCTCACCCTGGAGGGCTCCATGTGGGTCGGCATGCTGCTCCCTCTTCTCGTACCTTTGACGTCCCCAGCCCCTTGGACTCCAGAACCACTTTCTCGATCGGGCAAGCAGTATATGCTCTTCGGCCTACTGTACGACGCAGAAGGGGCTCGTACGTAGGTGTTGGGAAACTACGTACGTTGGGGGCCGCCGAGTGAAGAGTCAGTGGGCAATGGCACCTCTCCTCTAGTTGGACTGTTCTACGTCACATCTTTCCCCTCGAATTACACCATCATGTTCTGCAGTACGTGTACACGAGATCGAGTAAATTAGTGACTGCGTCAGTGTCTCTGGGTTAGGACAGGCCCATCCAGAGAAGTCTCCTCCGAGATCAATTCTTCGGCAGGCAACAAGTGGATATTATATATGATATCGGGAAGAGTACCCGATGATATCTTGATGAGAAATATGAAGTAAGTTGGGCAGGGACAAAGTCTGGATCTTGAATGCGGTGCTTACTTTACTCTACTCTACTTTAATCTACTGGACTGCTTTCATGATTCAGGCTGAACGGCGAGCAATCATCACATCCTGTGGTATACGTGTACGGAAGTTTTATCGTTTCTATTCGAGGGTTGTGTGCCGTAAGAAAGGTCAGAGTTTGTCAGAGCTTCGGAGGCTGAAGTCAACTGATACATGCACGTGATGTCAAAAGAGGGCATGCCGAAATCACGATTTCCATCCTAGCGGTGGAATCCTATTACGAAGATCTATAGCATTTGTCAGCTGGAGGTGACCCCTTGAAGAGGGGCCAACATAATCATTTGCTGTTCTTCTTATCTAGCAGTAACCCAAGTCCCTATCTAATATTTTTGGGAAACTCGTCGCTTATTATTAACAGGTTTCACGTTGGCACGTTTTCCGTAGAATCTCTCCAGTCTGATCCCCATCGATCTAATTTATTACTGAAGAGATTTACGCCATTGACCGGAGCCATGTCGGGGCCGACAGGTTAACACTGCTGAGTACTCCAGCGTCGGTATCTTTGGGCATATTCCAGGATATGCCTCCCTCGGCTCTTGCAACAGTGCTCTGATGTGATGGCCTTCTCAGATTCATGTCTTTTTTCTCATCCCCCTCCAGGATCAACGAGATGGATGGTGTTCATCAACTAGCGCAGGCGGCTTCGATCAGTACCTGGAATGATGGGTGAAGGACATCGCCGTACCAATCTCTCAATGCATTGACCAGTGCGTGGTGAGGAATCTATGGACCTTCTCGGAAAACCTCGGGACTGATCCGAGGAGCAGAAATAGCCAGACATCCAGACAATCCGGACGTCCCGCTAGTAACTTTTCTGCCTGTGGATCTGGGTGAGTAGCCAATGCACAATACGGGTGTATCTATTTTTCTCGTCGGTGGGAGAGCCCCATCGATGATCAGAGCTCCATGCCGTTTTGACTTTTATTTCTGAAGCTCTACCATTGGTTAAAAAAAAAATAAAGACTCCACAAAACGAGATCATTCAAGGAGAATATGAGAAGAGCCAGTCCCCGCCTGGTATACGAAACAAATCATCAGCCAAGTCGAAGCGAGCCTGGAAAGGCAATTGTTCGGATTCTTTAACGCGACACACCTCTGGAAAGTCTGCAGAACCGCCATGGCTGACATCTGGCCTTTAGACAAGTGAAAATGTCATCGAGCTTTCCAGCAATTTAACTTCGGAAGTGCGTTTAAGAGGTGTGTGGCAGTGCAATAAACATCGAAAATAAAAAAAACCAGCTATGGGAGCTGTGGTTGGTTGAGTTTATCTTCTACTTTCCAGGCTAGCTTCGACTTGGCTGAGGAATTGTTTCTTATACCATGCGGGGACTCGCCCTTCTCATGTTCTCCTCGTATGATCTCGCTTTGTGGGGTCTTTATTTCTTTTCCCGATGGTTCAACTTGGGAAATAAAGGTCAACACGGCATGGAGCTCTCTCTGATCATCGATGGGGCTCTACCATAGACGACAAAAAGAGCTACATGCGTATTGTGCATTGGCTACTGATCACAGATCCACAGGCAGAAAATGGAGCAATCAGAAATGAAGCAGCTTGCAGATGTACAGAAGTAGGCCAGCGGAGGAGGAGGATTGTACTGTTGGGTCAGGGTATATCACTTCAAGGTGAGAAATTCCAGGAATACAAGATCACATGAGATAAAAGCTCCGTGCTCATAACTGGGATTCATAGCATAAGCATCCAAAGCCGCAATTGTAGGCCTGCTGTTCTATTAGGCCTGAAGGGTCCCAAACAGACATCTGGTAAAGATTTGAATGAGTTCCAAGCTTAATGGATTTCTGTCCTGAAGTTTATATCCTTCGTTTTCAGTCCCCTTCGACTCACATTCACCAGTAGATTACCTAGATTTTACAGTAATTCCTTCAAATTCTGTTCTCCTTTGATGTCTAGCGAGCGGTATTTGTTTATGGCTATGCTGCGCTAGGTTCCATGAACCTCATATGCATCTCAACCTCTTGCTTCTGCTTTACATATACTTCACACCGTCGCTTGAGCGATTAGCGTGCGGCGTATAGAGTTGTGAACTCACTATTTTGCACTGTTGACAGTTTTTCTTTGATCGATGTTCGGTTGCTCTAGCATATCAATAGATATGCTATTCCACGAGCTGTACTTGTGACAGAAACTGTACAGATCGATTCCTGTTGAAAGCTGCAAAGTACATTCATATTACAATAAGATATTTCCAAAATACACGAGCATCCAGTCGCATTCAACCACTGATTGTGGATACAAGTAGACAAGTTCAGGCTGAAGGATCCGCTCTGAATAAAATGCTATCAATTACAAATTAGACAACAAAAATATAGAATCACTCAAAGTTATGATTTCTCTATTATATTATATCAATTTTTGTTGGATGTTGGTTGTGAAGAGTAAAAAATATAATAATTTTTGGATTTGGGGTAACTTTTTTATCAATCGTGAAAAGATATTTTCATTTGCTATGATATATTAAAATGATATTTTTAATATAAAATTAGACTAAAAAAGTTAAAATGAATGTATATTTTTACAAAATATATGTATGTTGACATCGAAAATTAAATTTGTGATACTCGTTGAATGAACACCTTGTGAATTATGTTGCTGAATATTCTAAATCCAGATAAATTATATGATATTGTAGTAGTTTGTGCTATCGATATATAAGAATTCGATTAATGTTAGAATATATGCTAGATTTATACCAACCCCTCTTCTCCCACCATAAACGAACACAAACTGAATTGAAAGAAAGAAATATCTCGAGTACCGGAAGAATTAATTTACTCCTCTCAAATTTGCACTCCGTACTATCTATGCACATACACCATGATACACGAAGGAAACTTTCACAGAGCAGTGGGATGCGCATAATTGCAGAGACTCCATGTAAACGAAATTCCTCCTTTATTCAAATGAGTCAAAAACTGAGGCGTAAATAAACAAATTCGTTGCCAAGATTTTCGTAATCGTAAAGATACCCTCCTCCATATACAGAAGCCCTCTAGTTCTTCCAACTTGAATTTACACTGCACTATACCGTGAGAAAATCGACTTGATCTAACATGAAAAAATTTAATTGGAGGCAGTAATTTGCTCTAAGGAGGCAAGGCACGGAGCTTGACTAACACAAGTATTAGACAAATTTTAGCAACCTAGCTTCTACAAAATGTGTGAGTTTGCCTGAACTCACATCAGAGCAGCTGCGGAGGAAAATACGTTCCATGGATCATGACATATCCTACGTCTGGGATATCAGAACACTTGATAATCGAACCACGATCCACCTGGTAGCATACCCGATAACAGAAAATTGCAAAGTCGCGTAAAATCGGATTTTCTACCGAAGCGGAACTAGAAGCTGGTATACGTAATTATCTCAAGCTCACTTTACAAGCTGTGGTGATTTGCAAGGACTCTGTGGGTTGGTGGCGTTCGAAGTTGCTGTAGCAGGGTCCATGCAGACCGCCGCTCCTGGATATACCGAATTCTGCCCCAGCGTGAAGATGGTGTAGTTTTGAACGAGTGATAGTGATTTGTACAGAGCACTCATAATTTGATCAGCGTCGGCTGCACACGAACGAAGATAGAGAGTCATTGAAAAGAATGTCAACCAATACACCTCGGAAACCACTAAAAGCTCGTCATGCAGATCAGATCAGATCAGCAACCAAAGTTTCTTAGATGCCCGTAGGTGATAGGACTGTCCCTTGCACACAATGACAGATGAACAAAGTGAGACAAACGATGACGAGCACGTACTTGTTTGAGACTTCTTGGGGTCGGCTAGATTTTTCGCATGATTAGTGGCACTGCTGATGGTGTCATTCAGTTGAGTCCAGGTGCTCGGAGGCAGATTGGTCAGAGTCAGGGCATCACTTGAAGCCTTGAAGCTCTGAAGGCTAGAGTTGAAGTCCTTGTAAACTTGTGTCGTCAGATTCGTAACACGATCCTCGTACCTCGTCACCTCCTTCCCTTGGATCTTACTCGGAGTATACACGCCCTGGGCGAACACCGCAGCTACCACCACACCTATTACGAACAGAGTCGAGACCCAAGATGCGAACTGCTTCAAGAAGAAGGTCCAGTTCACTCCTTTGCTTCCTTCCAAAATTCCAACACCGATGATCGCTCCGGTGATGCACTGACTTGAAGAAGTAGGAAGCCCGTACTGTGATGCAATCATGATCACGAACGCCGTCGCTAGCTCAGCAGCAAATCCTCGAGTTGGTGTCAATTTCGCTAGTTTTACTCCCATGGATCGAGTGACATTGTAACCGTATGTGGCCAGACCAATCACCAGACCAGTAGCCCCGATGATTATGATCCAGATGGGAGGAGTCACAGACTTCGACAGCTGTCCATTCTGGTAGACATCCCAGATGGTAGCCAAGGGACCTGCCATGTATCCCACCTCACCGGCACCGTGGGCGAAGATCACGCAAATGGCTGAGAACACTTGTAAGTAGCTGAAAGCATACTCCACTCGTGGTTCGAATTTCTCTGCGGCCTCGTGCATATTTCCGATTTTCTCGTCAGTCTTCACAACCTTGTGGATATCCACGTCCATTCCGTGAGTTGCTGCTTTGCTAAACTTCTGCCAGTTGGTCAGTTGCTTGGGTTCTACAGTTGTCTTGTCGACGGATTTCTCTAAGTCTCCTTCAGTATTTACACTCTCGAGCTGAGTGTCAGCTGTCTTCTCGATTCGGTTTCCAGCACTAGTGACGAAGCAAACGCAACAAGTTGTGGTCAGAAATCTGTGATTTCAATATACATCTGGGATGCCACAATAATTATTGTCCTTCACAAAGATTATCGAAACTGCAGTGAGTCTGCTGTGTCTATGTATATGGAGTGAGGAGAAACAAGAATTTGTGTTATTATATTATACCTGTCAAATTGACGGTCAGCCATCCTCTTGAGCAGAGGCAGAGCGAAGAATATACACATCAGTGTTACTCCAGCAGCGATAATGGCAGAGATCCAGGCGGACTTGGCGTCTGACCAGTTGTCATTGCTCGAAAGAGTTTTCTTGGCACCCTGCAGATAATTTGACACCCTCTGAATCAGTCCCTTGAACGATATCAACAATGGGAGGTGGAAAAATATTTCATTACGGAGAGATCAATGAAGCTCTAGCCAGTCTGGATTCAGAATGTATTACCTTTGTGAAGACAAAGTAAAGGTTGATGAAAGTGGTGATGAGCACAAAGGGAGGTAGGGTCCAGAAGGACAACGTGTAGGCATTTCTCCGTCTTAGCACGAGAGTGCGCACCACGAAGAAGATAAGTGCAGCTGTAAGACCACTGAGGATTGGAGACACGAACCACGAGAGGATAATGGCTACCACTCCCTTGTATGGTGGGAAGGACTGAGAATCTTTCTTCGCCCAGATCACAGCGTTAGGTCCGTCCCAGACGAGAGCGAACCCCATGATTCCTCCAACTGAAATTTGCACAAGCGAGTAAGAAGTGCCTTAGATCTATATACAAGTCAGTCCACGAACATTCACAGCTTCTGAACTTGACTTCTGACTACCAGATAGACAAAGTTCCTTTGGTTGCCTCCAATATTCAACGATGCTATTCACTCAGCAAGCTCAAAAACGATGCGTTGATCTGGAGGAACGTACTGATGGAGTGAGTAGATGAAACATTGAGCCCCCAATAGGAAGTCAGAATGAGCCAAACTGTACCGACGCCCAATGCACAGACCATTCCATATGCATACACTTCGGGGTCCCTGGTAAAGGAAGCTATGTCTGCAATTCCAGAAGCTATCGTGTTGGTAGAAACTCTTCCCAGGAGCAGGGCACCGGCGAATTCGAATATAGAAGCGATCTGAACCAAAATTCGCCGTATCAGTCATGAGCCTTTTGACCGGTCTGATACATCAAATTTTATGTCAAAGTCTTCGAAGAACGTCAAGGAAATAGGAAGTGAATATGAGGTTTACAGCAGAATTTGACGTCAGAAATTGTGTAGAGCTACAGAGAAGTGTTAGCGACAACCATTTTGCTCTAGAGAGAAGATCCTAGTTTCAAATTCTATTTACAATCTCTTGCGAAGACTTACTTTATATATATATGTATGTAAAATACGAATACTTACAATGACCGCCTGCCTAAGAGTAAGAGTTTTACTTCCGACCGAGGTACCGAAGGCATTGGCTACATCATTGGCTCCTGCGAATCCAAATCTCCAAAGTCAACAGGTTGTTACTGCAATCGAGTACAACTGACCACAATCCTAGAGATCTGCAATGTCAGCCGATGTTTCCTGGGAAAGGTGCCAACCGAGGAGAAGGAAGTGAGAATAACAAGACAATAGACTACACAGGTTGGACATGTCGTTTTACTGCACACGTGGTACTTACCAGTTCCCCACCCGAAACCGAATGCCACAATCGAACCCACAACTACAAGCCACACATACTCGTCTAGGACGGCCATGTTTGAATCTTTGGGATCTTTGGAGCAGGTCTGAAGACTGGGTTGCAACCCGGACAAAGAGGATAGCGCCTATGACATCAGACAGTGCCCCCAGATTCCATTCAAGAGCTTGATTGGACTGAAGCAGATGGTGTTTGCTAAGCACGAGATAGCCCATTGGATGATCAGAGAAATCCGTTATTTATAAGAATTGGGAAGTACCTGCCATCTTGACTATCACTGCCCAGTTAGCGACTGCAGCCGATAAGGCAGCAGTTGCACATTACAACAATGCATCGACAGCCCGGAACGAGAGGTATATATTGGTATATGCTGAAAAGATCTCCTTGGTTCTCTTACACAGTTTTGTGGCAGGATGCTCTCCTTCAGATTCCAGTACGCTGGAGCCGGAGGTTTGTGTGTTCTTCATCTGCAAGCTTTGGTGATCATTGCCACCTGAGCTTCATGTACCCGAAAGGACGGTCGGCAGGCATGGCCGTAAGAGTGTACAGGCAGAGAACTATTCCTCTGCTTGTGCGGTTACTAAGAAAAGCCCAGAATTGGTTCCTGATTTGTGCCTCGCAGCGCAGGTGAAGAAGGCTGTGGCGAAATTCTCTGACGAAGTCCAGATTCCAGGAGAAGTGTTTGAACCCGAGGATCTGGAGACGAAGAGTCTGAAACACGTCCACCACCTGGACTGTACAACTGTGTTGATGTCAAACCCAGGCATTTGTTACGTGTACTTCAACAATCACCAAGCGTCACGTTCAAATGGGTTGTTTGGAGTTATTTTCTACCATCAAATGACATCGTTTGAGTTTGGACAATAGCCCGAGATTTTTTATTTAGCAATGATGGAAAAAGCTAACACATCTCGCAAACAACCTTTCTTCACTTAGCGTTTTCTGAGATTGACATATTGCATTACTGTAATGGATTTGGTGTCTTTGCAATCATAAAAGACTCCTGTACCATTTATAAGGTGTTCTCGCTACTTTAGTCATATACAGATGATACTTAGCTTTGTCTCTTGAAACAACAATGATCAAATAAATTAAGAATTCTGTGATCTTAGTCTCTATGTTAAGATCTTTCTTTCTTTCTTTGTATGTATCTGGGGACAGAAATTATGGGGAAAAAATTGCAAGAAAGTATAGTGAGGAAATTATTATCCATAAATTCATTACTGTAGTAAGTGCTGTTGGCATGGAAACATAACGTTCCAGTCATCCTATAAATACTATTTAATCTGAAATGATGTGTGTTCATATACAATGAGGATTCACTTCTGTTATGAAATTTATACCAACAAATGTTGTACTCTGCTGTGTACATAGCAAGGCTACCGTACAGTATACATGAACCAATATTTTCCAGAATCTGCAACAATCTGAAAAGAAGAACAGTTTATGTGATGAAATGACTGAAGAAAGCATTATCGAATAGAAAAAATCAGGATTTATGTTATTTTCTATATGCTTACTAATTTTCTTGTATATATAAAAAATTATTAAGTCTGATCCCAGAAGCTTTAAACGTGTCGAAAGGAATATGTTCTAGTTATTGTATGGTACATTTGCAGCAAAAACATCACGCACTTTATATTTGATCTCTTGAATAATTTTTAAACAATGTATTATTTTCGAGTATAAAGATCATGCACAAGTATTAATAATTTTTGGATAGATAAATGTGTTCGTAAGTTAATTATTTTGTTAAACGAAGTGAATAAAAAGGCTGAATAATACTAAAATATAGTGATTTCCTTTGAAAAATCATCTCAACCTGCCAATAATTTGATTGGTGACCGCACTCCCGTCTGTGTGATTTAGTCGATGCTTAATTTTGATCATCTGTCGCTTATGTACACGTTGCTTAAAATTATTCCGTGAAGAAAACGATGTGTATGCAGATATCTTCTCCGAATTATCCTAAAAAAATCACATGATAAAAAGTTTTTGGCCAATCAGCTATAAATACATAACCTCTGTTAATCCTACTATTTAACCATTAGATGTGATCACTTATCATGCTTTGACTGATCAAGAGGCTAGCATCACAATTGACTTTGATACTGCTATCTTGCAAAGTCAAATCCAAAATACAGCTAAGATAATTTTTGCACCGTTTTTTATTTATATTGAGGACCTAAATCTAAATACGCTGAAAGATATGTTTACATTTGGAACGAAATTATTGGCAATTTAAGTATTGATCACCATTGCACATGACTTTTCATAGGATAGTTATCCATTACTAATGTAGATCTGAGTCCTTCAGAGAAGAAGACATAATCACGTCACCGGAATGGAAGTTACTAAATGTGTTTGAGCAATATTAGAAATCGACCTCTCAAATTAGAGATCATTTGAAAATCCAAAGTTGACTACCTCCTTTCCAACAAAGATGAAAAACAACATTCGAGAATTTGTGCATACTCGAATATAAGAGCCTTCTCTCTCTCTCTACAAATTGGACCATGAGAATTATGATCATATCAACTTTCTGTGTCATATGCTTACATAAAAACCTCAGTCGTTGTTGTGAAACAGCAGCATACTTCTCAATGCTTTCATTCATTGAAATGAGATAATACATGTATAGTATACTCCTTGCTATATCCTGTCTTCTATCTTGCTGTCTAGCTCCAACCCTAGCAGCTGTAATTTTCTTCGTTTCTAGATTTACACTCCATTTTTACAATTGGATGGATTGACTATACCATAAAAATTGTCAAAACTATCTCATGTGCATACATCTCGTTGAAGATACAGAGATTCGCACTATGAAAGCGAAGCACTCGTGCCACTCACCAACGTAACTTCTCAAACCAGCGCGATATAGCAGAGGCAAAATATGACATTTAATTGCGTGAACGCTAATCAGAGCTGTTTTCGATTCAATACGCTTGCTACCCATCGAAGTTGATATATCTATCGCTCCCATGATCAAACCACTTGATCGAACTCGAAACTCCCCGGACACAGGACCCAGTTGGTAGCATACCCACATTTGCGATAATGGTGGAAATTATGTAATATCGTTCGTTCTCACCGAAATTTAGCACCAAGCTTTGAATATCACTCGTTCATGATCATTTGACTAGCTTTGGTGCTGTGCAAGGAACCTGTGGGTTGGTTGCGTTCCCGATTGCAGTCGCCGGGTCCATGCAAACCGCCGCTCCTGGATATACCGAATTCTGCCCCAGCGTGAAGATGGTGTAGTTTTGAACTAATGACAGTGATTTGTACAGAGCGCTGATAACTTGTTCAGCATCGGCTGCACGCCAGCAAAGAAATGAAATTTTCGTTAGGATAAAGGCCACCGACTACAGCTTTGAGTAAAACGTGATCACAAGCTTGCCATGCAACCATAGCCTTTCAGATATTTGGTGGGTTATGAGAGTGTCCCTTTTACTGTCAGACATGAAGAAAGTGAGACACTTACTGGTTTGAGACAGTTTGGGGTTGACTAGATTCTTCGCTCTGGTGTTGTCAATGTTGATAGTGTCGTTCAATTGAGTCCATGTGCTGGGAGGAAGAGTAGTGAGAGCCAGGGAGTCACTTGCAGCTTTGTAGCTCTGCAGGCTAGTGTTGAAGTCCTTGTACACTTGCGTCGTCAGATTCGTCAACCGATCCTCGTACCTCGTCACCTCCTTACCTTGGATCTTACTTGGAGCATACACGCCCTGGGCGAACACCGCAGCGACCACCACACCGATGACGAACAGAGTGGAGACCCAAGATGCGAACTGCTTGACGAAGAATGTCCAGTTCACTCCCTTGCTTCCTTCCAAAACTCCCACACCGATGATCGCGCCGGTGATGCACTGACTTGAAGAAGTGGGAAGCCCATACTGTGACGCAATCATGATCACGAACGCAGTCGCTAGCTCAGCAGCAAATCCCCGGGTCGGTGTCAGCATCGCTAGTTTTACTCCCATGGATCGGGTGACATTGTAACCGTATGTGGCCAGACCAATAACCAAACCAATTGCCCCGATAAGTATGATCCAGACGGGGGGAGTCACAGCCTTTGATAGTTGTCCCTTCTGGTAAACATCCCAGATGGTAGCCAAGGGACCTGCCATGTATCCCACCTCACCGGCACCGTGGGCGAAGATCACGCAAATGGCTGAGAACACTTGTAAGTAGCTGAAAGCATACTCCACTCGTGGTTCGAATTTCTCTGCGGCCTCGTGCATATTTCCGATTTTCTCGTCAGTCTTCACAACCTTGTGGATATCCACGTCCATTCCGTGAGTTGCTGCTTTGCTAAACTTCTGCCAGTTGGTCAGTTGCTTGGGTTCTACATTTGTCTTGTCGACGGATTTCTCTAAATCTCCTTCATTATTTACATTCTCGAGTTGAGTGTCAGGTGTCCTCACGATTCGGTTTCCAGCACTGGATGGGAAGACAAGGCAGCAAAAATTTGTCAGAAGTTTGAGAAACCAGATCAACACAATTATACTTGCAGCTAGTTATTAAGTGCATCACTTTTTAAGGAGAGAGCTGCCCCACCTGTCGAATTGCCTGTCAGCCATCTTCTTCAGCAAGGGCAGGGCAATGAATATACAGAATAGTGTCGCTCCCGCGGAGATAATGGCCGAGATCCACGCAGCCTTGGCGTCAGACCAGTCGTCGTTTTTGGAGAGCGCTTTCTTGGCACCCTGCACAATATAACCTTCACCAAATCAGGCCTGGGCTCCAGGTCAGTCTTGTAAGAGTGACAGCGAGTATTTGGAGAACGATCATCACTTGCTAGCCTGCAATCACAGCATAGTACCTTGGTGAAGACAAAATACAGGTTGATGAAAGTGGTGACGAGCACGAACGGAGGAAGGGTCCAGAAGGACAACATGTAGGCATTTTTCTGTCGAAGCACGAGAGTGCGGACCACGAAGAAGATGAGCGCAGCTGTAAGTCCACTCAGAACTGGAGATACGAACCATGAGAGAATAATGGCCACCACCCCCTTGTACGGTGGGAAGGACTTGGTATCCTTCTCCGCCCAAATTACAGCGTTCGTGCCATCCCAGACGAGAGCGAACCCGATAATTCCTCCAACTGCAATCACCATAAGCATACTTATACTTAAGTCCCTAGCTTTCATTCATAATTCAGTTTAATTCTACATCATTTCGGCTTGCCTCTAATCCATGACAATGCTTAAAGCCTGAGCAGAAGTATGAAGGTCTGATGTCGAAATTCTTACTGATGGAGTGAGTGGACGAAACATTGAGTCCCATATAGGAAGTGAGGATCAGCCAAACTGTACCCACACCCAATGCACAAACCATTCCATACGCGTACACTTCTGGGTCTCTACTGAACGAATTAATGTCCGCAATGCCCGACGCTATGGTGTTTGTAGATACTCGTCCCAGGAGCAGTGCACCGGCAAACTCAAATATCGAAGCAATCTGGATGAAATTACGGCTGTCAGTTTCCAAAGCTCATTCCTTTCGTCTGGAAACTCAGAGTGAAAGTCAACACACTAGCACAGACATAAATCGACCTTGTTTTGGAATGGGGACATCAAGAGTCCGACTTCACATCACAAAGAACCAAATCCTTGTCTGGATTAAGTTGATTGATTGTACGGTAGATACAGTCACTTACAATGACCGCTTGTCGAAGAGTGAGAGTTTTACTTCCGACCGAAGTACCGAAGGCATTGGCTACATCGTTGGCACCTGCACCATAACTTTTACAGGTCAGCTTGTTGATGAGAATCATTCAAAATTTCCTAACAATTGAGAAGGTAGCTTATGGATCCGGATAAGAACTGGGAGAGGTGTAAGCTTGCATGTCAACAGTTGCAAGATTAATGAGACTTCTGGCAACTATCTGGGTACATGGAAAATAGCTCACACAACTTACCAGTTCCCCAACCGAAGCCAAATGCCACAATGGATCCCACAATCACCAGCCATACATACTCCTCAAGAACGGCCATGTTTTCGGATTTTTGAATCTATAGAAACGACCTGAGAACCGATATCCGCTACAGATTCAAGTCAGGTGCAACCTGTGACATCTGACATGTGCCTTGATTCCAATCAAGAGCTTGATTAGATTCAAGCAGATGAGTTTGGTTAATGCACGAGCCCATTGGAGGAACTGAGAAAATTGTTATTTATACGGAAGGGGAAGCGCCTGCTCGCTTGGCCCTGGACATCGTAGGCCTCCCTGGCCCGACCCCAGCTCGAGACTGGAGCCGGATCTGGGCCGACAGGGCAGCAATGCACATTTCTGCACAGAACTGACAAGAATGAACAGAAGGTATCTTTCGGCATATACCGCATATCCTTCCCTCGGTTCCTCCCACAGTGCCTTGACGCCATGGCGTGTACGCAGACCTCGCCTTTTTTAACCTCGCTGGAGCCTCCATTCTCGGAGTGCTGCTCTTCCTCGGGTGCACTGGTTCCTGGAATCATGGAGAGGACACAAGGCCGTACCAGTTGACTGACCCACGCTTTCTGGAGCAGCTCTGGATTCTTCCCAGTTTAGATTAGATTAGAGTGCATCGACCTGCACAGCAGAATCTACGACGCTTTACCTTGAATTCTTCGCGGATCAATTTCTTCGAGCCCCATACATAGCTCTTCGAACCTCATGCTTCATGATTGTGAGTGAATCCGGCCGATCGGAAACACAGAGAATCCGATAGATCCTTCGACTCGTTTCCATCGAATCAAGGTTTCTCCTCCGTGTGTACGGACGGAACAGTTCAGACGATGAATACAATCGGTCCCGAAACATCGCCATGGTAATACGTACTACTCCACGTACGAATTCCTCACTGTGTACTTACTATCTGTACACTATACTTTGTTGAACAAGCAGGAAACAAAGGGTGAATGGAATTTGCTTTCCTATAATCGTGACTTGTCTCAAGATCTAACGCTGTTCAAGTTGGAGGAAGGTGTCTCGAATTTGGAAGGCAATAATATTGAGATTAATAATTAAGTTGACACTATATAAATATATGACTAATGCATAATATCATAACATTGTAATAAAAGCAAGTATCTAGGGAATGGCTAGGGCTAATTAGACTGCAGGCTAGAACAACCCCGACCATATGCCTCCGGACTTACGGCATACGGCCACCGTCGTGACGGGATTCGTGTGTCACCGTTCTGCACACCTTTCGAGGGGACGGACTGCTAAAGTTTACAGCGAGAGGATTTGGTATACAGACGGAGTAACCGACACCTCTTGGGTCTCCCTTCTCTTCTCTCTCTTCAAACCCACCCCGGTGAGCGGGGAAGCTTGGGATTTTGAAATTCACAAGGACGTTGACTCCGCCATAGCTCACAACCTTGTCCGCGATGACCTTGGATTTCTGTCTGGAGGTTTACTGAGCGTTCAGAATTTCTTCGAGACTCGCCAGCATCCCAACCAACCCATTGCTGACTCGCAGTTTGCCCACTCCGGACGACGTTTCGTCCGATGGTTTAGTGCAATGCGTGCACGAATCTCATTTCCTGGTGGCGAAGTGAAAAGGCAGAAGGGGAGTCCCATTCGCCACACGATGATCCGATGCATGCAGTGGACATGGAGCTCGATTAGAATGTCCCTCACTCTCAAATGCAGTCGCTTGTCACACAACTCATAGATAGAAGACTCCCTTCAGGACTTCAGAGTCCGGCATTGAAATTACTCCACGATGCGCTCGACCCTCCGAGCGTGGACCTCGAGCTCACCCTCAATTGCGAGTATTTATGCTTCATCTACCATTTTTGGACAACTTTCGGGTCTCGCTATTAAGCCTCGCCTATGCAGATTGGCCAAGATTTCCGTCACACCAAGATTTAACTTAGACATGTCTCTAACCTGAAAGAAGTCCAGATGATTCTTGATTCATGAGTTTCATAGTAGCAAAATTGAGACTTCCCAAAATTGAGACTTCCGCTCGTTCATCTCTTAGTACCCATTGACCTAAGGAGAAAGGAACTCGGCATCGGCAGTAATCTTGGACCATGAACGGCCAAGTGAGTGAATGAGGTCACTTCAACCAACTTCATCCACTCGTTATACTTCATATTGACCACAACCCAATTGAAACCGTGTTTGGTCCGAGTTTGAGAACTGCTCAACTTCAAAATTTCAAGCGTACGCGGAGAATCTAAATCAAGAATGATTTTTCTGTCACGCTGGAGTTGCGTGTACTGACAATAAAAGCCAATTTTGATCGCTAGAATGGCATCGAGAGTGGAAGATGAACCTAACGATGCCGCAGCAGCAAGGGCTGGAGCTGGAGCATTATCTTGCATTCTTCAAAGTCCATCGTCACAATCCATCACTTCCACACATGCAAACAGATGACACTTATTCCTGGCCATATAGAGAACACAAGCAGCGTGCACATGTCTTGTGGCCACATTGCAATACTTCTCCTTCCCAAGTACACTTCGATCAGAGGCAAGCAAGATAACATAGAAGAAACAACCAAGGTGTTACAGCCATGCGACTGTGCCACACCATACTCGTATCAAGACCTCCTCAACTAGATAACAGTGGTCAAGAGAAGTGAGCGATACCGGAAAATTTGCAGTTTTGATTATTGAAATGAATTTGTAGTAATCACAACATGCTTTACAACAATGTGGATTCCACGATCAAGCAAAGATAACATAGTTATCTCCAAAATCGACCATGAGTCTTGTCAAAAGCATGCTGCAAGGTCCGACACCTGCACTCCGAAATAGGATCCGCCCACTTCAATATGCGAACTCGAGTTGAGAGAAGACTAGCATATATCAAGAAGAGAGAGAAGAGGCGGGAAAACCAAGAGGGGTCTCCTCCTCCTCTAGGTCACTGCAGTCAACTTTAGGGACTGATTTAACGTGCGTAACGGCGAGCCCCCAACGGTGTACGTATGAAGGGCCTCGGCGTCATCCGGTCGATGTTAATCTAGCCAAAAGCCTAATTAGCCTTCACTTGACTATACGGGATTCTCTAATTGGTTGATGTAATTCTCCATTCTCCCTGATTGGTCCATGCAAGGTTATAAGGTTGCAAGGGTTCGTGCGTGAGTAGCAACTACTCCCAAAATAGAGTGTTCGACCCATTGGAGAAGAGGTTATAGATTGAGGCTAATTAACTCTAAGTGAGTGATAACTATACGATAAAACAATCCAGATTATGGGTCAAATATAGTTAGAATAAAATTTCGGAGGAGTAAAAGGTTCAGTTATAAGTCTTCATGTGATTATGCTGTACTCGAAATTGAGTAAATTAGAAAAAAATTACATTAGCATTATATTAACCCCACAACCTACTCTCCACAGTTGAGTCCTGATATGATCATGATGTCAGGGTGATGAAGGTTGGGGAAGCTTGCGAGCGATCTTCAAGGCTTCTACAAGTTCCCAACTCGTGGGCATGTGCGGAGCATGGATTGACCTCGAAATTCCAGCCAGGTTCGTCCCATTCCACAAGGATGCAAGCATATTGGAGTACACTGCTCTCATACGTACGGCAAATCTTTCCACAGGAATTCCTGCATGGAAAAACGTGAGTGGCAGGTGACTAAGTGTCGGGGGAAAATCACAACACGATTTCCATAATCCCCGGTACATGAACATGTCAATTGTTGGTTCAATAGTATTCATTTCGTCAGAACCCAGGTGGAACCATGAACGACTGACTTTTAAAGAATTTCTCTCATTATATCTAAGGTTCGAAAAGATGTAATAGCCAACGGAACGCCACGGCACATGCCACAAGCTTCTGGTCATACTTCTAAGAAAAAAAACATTAGATTTCAAACACGGTTTTGCTCATGTCATATATAGATGAAGGGCTTCACGATTAATTCGCACATTTTGTATTATACACTTCTTTGCATACATTGTTCAGTCATTTTGATATTTACACAATCCGTATATGAGTTATCAATTTTTTGCAATTTTCTCACTTTAATCACAGAACTTTGATCAAGTATATTTCATTCGCAATATATTGACATCTTCTTTTTTTTTTTTCTTCTTCTACGATCTCTCTACTTATTTATTACGAAAAATTTAATGACATCTACCTTGATCCAAGGGGATGTCATATCATTCTCTACACAATTACATGCATATGGATGACAGGTGACACATCAAATTCCTACATCTAATTCTATAAAACAATGTAAAACCCTCGTACTCAACGCAACTTTGTTGCTGCAAACTTTTCGAAAAGTCAATGTAGATTGATCTTTTAGCGTGCTCCTCATAAAAGGTCTTGACATCTCCACCGATAGCTCATTCGTTTCAATCGGGTGTGCAGGACCTTTATCATACTGTTTTTTTTAGATGGCATTTCGATGCTTCCACTTCTTTCTACGAGTTCATCTCCAAAATATCAATATATTTTCTTACTTAACTCTCCACATTCTCTTCTTCACTTATTTGGAATTTCAGATGTTCCAAAATTTTACTATTTTCCACGTATAAATTGTGATCTTACTTAAGGAAATCTTTCAAATTGCAATCCCAATATTGCTGCATACAGTAATTAAATGAATAAATAAATTAGTAAATAAATAAATAAATAAATAAATAAATAAAATATTACTGCATAAGCCACCACATAGTTCCGCCCTTAAATGTGAGTGCCGTGAAATTTTTTTTATCAGAAAGATAAGAAGTTAAAGTCCGCCAATTGCAACAACCCATAAACCATACATTACCTTCCAATGTTGATGCAATTTTTGTCTTACGATAGCGATTGCCATACAAAAGAACGTAGTGGTTCGTAACTATCTTAATGATAACAAAAATTGACATCACAACTCCTGTCCTATCTGGCTTAGATTTCTCTCGGAGGTCCTCCTCATAAGTACATTGTTCGTCCAATCGAGTGAGCTCCAACTAGGAATGGGCACGGCTCGGCTAGCTGATTATACAGCAGGCTAGCTGATAAATATTGCCACCGCTATCCGAGGCCGAAACTAACCGAAAAATTGGACCAAATTTAAGTTTTCGGCTAATTATTTCCTCATATTCGGCCGAAATCTCACAATCTAGCCGAATATTTCGGTTGATTGCATTTTCGGCCGGTAGCCGAATAGCCGACTGCTAGCCTGACAAATTAGAGGCCCTAGCCGGCTAGCCGAAAGT